TATTTTATAGACCGATCGATAGTGTAATAAGTTTTCGTTCCAACTGTGTCTTTAAAGGTTTATAACTATATATTTTGAAAGCTTCAAATGCGTGTGTTCACATGCGCAGCAAGGCGAGATTTTGAAAATGTAATAGATATTTTTGAATTTCCATGGCATAACAACAGTTTGTTGTGAACATTTTCTCGGCGAATTTTCTACTAACCTGAATATAAATGCAACTAAAATATAGGCATTTTCACAAGCTTTCAAACCATCCGCGTTGGGGGTGTATGTCGTTAAATTTCGTATTAATATAAGCAAGGGTGGGTTGACTACAAAATTTTTGTAGTTCGCTACAACTACAGCTACTTCAAAAATATGTAGTCATGCAGCTACAACTACTGCTACTTTTGAACAAAGGTAGTTCGCTACTGACTACAGCTACTGCTTAAAAAATGTAGCGAACTATTTCGCTATTTCGCTACTCTATATTTTTTAGTTTTACGGTATTTGGAGCATCCACTAGCTCAGGCTGTAATATAACTTATAACAAATCTACTTACGAGTAGCAACAGTAAACAAAAAGGGTCAAAGCAACATTTTTATAAGCACTACATTGTTCAGGAGTGCCACTTTTCATTGCGCTAAAATAATCTTTACTGTATAAAATAATCTTTTAACTTTTAAGCAAACCATGTCTTAATATCATTCTATTCTACGAACGGTTGCTAACAATTTTAAAAAGTAGCGAACAGCGATTCGCTGTTTGAAAAGTAGATAGATAGATAGATAGATTTTATTTTGACACGCTAACTACGTCAATTAAAAACATTGATTTCCACGAAGGGCGTGTGTTCAAAAGTTATTATATATAAATGTTGTTATGACTCTTATGGAATCAAATAAAAGAAAATAGAAATAATCTAACTGTTCCAATTGACAAAATTGACAATATAGAAAACTAACAAAACATAGAGATAACTATTTACAACAAAGGATATATATATGTATGTATAAATATATTATTTAGAAACATGAGCAGCAATTTTTCTTTCAAATAGAGACTGGGACCTAATTCCTCTGATTTCTTTAGGCACTGAGTTCCATATTTTTGCCCCATTAAACATAAAACTCTTTTTCATGCTATTTGTGCGGGGCTGTGGCAAAACGAGTGTTGTTTCATTGTCACGGAGACAGTAATGCGTATTCTCATTCTTGTAGGTAAAAAGGTCTGTTAGGCTTTTAGGTCCAGACATATTCAAAATTTTGAACATTAATTTTGCCTTAGCTTTAGTTCTTTGTACTTTTAGTGTCTCCCATCCTAACGAATTTAATGCGATTTGGGCATTAACTTCGTTACCCATGTCCATAATAATTCGAGCGCATCTATTTTGAAGCTTTTGTAATCGTTGTGATTGAGTTTCACCAAAAATGTCCCACACTTCACAACAATAAGTAAAGTATGGTTGTACAATTGCGTTAAATATAGAAACAAGTGTAACACGGTCAACAAATTCTTTTAGTTTTCTAATAACAGAAATGGCTGATGTGATTTTCTTACAGATACTCTCAGTGTTTCTTTTCCAAGAGAGATGCTGATCAACTATTACTCCTAGTGTCTTGCATTCCTTCACTTGTTTAATTGGTCTGTTTTCAATCATTATGTTTAAATTTGAATCTGAAACAGTATGCACTAGAGATCTTGATCCTATGAGCATAAATTCAGTTTTGGCAATGTTTAGACTCAGTTTGTTCGCGTTTAACCACATTCTGAGGTTTTCCAAATCAGAGTTCACTGCATTTTCAACATCATCAATTGTACCACCGGAAGCAGTGAGGTTTGTGTCATCTGCAAAAAGTCTTGGCTTTGTCCTATTTAG